AGCCTGACGCGGGGCTCGAACTCACGGACCGTGAGATCATGACCTGAGCCGAAGTCGGACGCTTAACCGAGCTACCCGGGCGCCCCTTTACTTTATTTTATTTTTAAATGTTTATTTTACTTTTGAGAGAGAGAGAGAATGTGAGCATGGGAGAGGCAGAGAGTGGGGGACAGGATCCAAAGTGAGCTCTGTGCTGAGAGCAGACAGCCTGATGTGGGGCTAGAACCCACAAACTATGAGATCGTAACCTGAGCTGAAGTCAGACACTTAACTGACTAGCCACCCAGGTGCCCTACAACTACTTCTTTTTAAAAACCACATTTAAAATCCAGTTGCATTCCCAAGATCTTTACATCCTGGGACTAAGTCCTCCTTCTGTCTCCCATGGCAATGCTGTTCCGATTTTAGGATGAAAATCTGAAGACATCGTAGACAATATGTGTCTGGGTGTGTGGAGCCTCAGCAGCACAACTGTTTCATTAGATGGGTTATTTATTAGGCAGTGAAATTAGAGAAAGCAGGTATATCGTACAACTTGGTAAGGCGAATTTTGCCCCTAATTTTTATTTTCTGAGTTTCTGTTATTGTACTTCAGCATCCATCAGTTTTGGGGAGTGGGGCCATTTTTGCATATGTCTCTGGAGTTTTCCTTGCCATGAGGGAAACTTTGTTTTATATAATAGGAATGATCTTAATATTTTATATGCAATGGATTTCATATTTAAATATTGAATAGTTTAAAATTTTTAAGAGCAGCTAACAGCTGAAAGGACTCTGCTTGAATCCTTTTAAAACTTAAAACCTAGGGGCGCCTGGGTGGCTCAGCCAGTTAAGCGTCCGACTTCTGCTCAGGTCATGATCTTGCAGTTCGTGAGTTCGAGCCCTGCGTTGGGTGCTGTGCTGACAGCTCAGAGCCTGGAGCCTGCTTCAGATTCTGTGTCTCCCTCTCTCTCTGCCTCTCCTCCTCTAGCACTCTCTCTCAAAAATAAATAAACATTACAAAATTAAACATAAAACCTAATCAACATCTCAGTTTATGAATTCAGATTTTTGTATTTTTCCCTTAAATTAAGCTTTATTCAATAATAAATAGGTAATGAGTAGTGGTAAAATATTTTAGAGCTCTTGTCAGTCATTTCAGTGTTTTAAAGTTGTGACTGGGTGGGGTGCCTGGGTAGCTCAGTCAGTTAAGCATCTGACTTTGGCTCAGGTCATGATCTTGCAGTTCGTGGGTTCAAGCCCTGCACTGGGCTCTCTGCTGACAGCTTGGAGCCTGGGGCCTGCTTCAGATTCTGTGACTCCCTCTCTCTGTGCCCCTCCCCTGCTCATGCTCAGTCTCTCACTCAAAAATAAATTAAAAAATTTTTTAAAAAGTCTAAAGTCGTGACTGGCCATAGGCCAAAGTTAAGAAAATATAGTTTCCTGCCTGTTTCCCATAGCTTCTCTTTCCCTCTCACTTCATGGTGTTGCCTTTGGTAGACACTCCCTACCTGCTCTCTTGTATTAAAACCTCCTTAATGTTTTATTTTTTTTTTTTTATTTTACAGAGAAAGAGAACACAAGAGAGGGAAGGGCAGAGAGGGAGACGGGATCCAAAACGGATTCAGTGCTGACAGCAGAGATCCCAATGCAGGGCTCAAACTCACAAACTGTGAGATCATGACCTAAGCCAAAATCAGATGCTTAACCAACTGAGCCACCCAGGCGCCCCTGTATTAAAACCTCCTTAGAAAAAAATCTGAAATGCATTGATACCAGCATATTACTAATTTACTTAAAACAGCTTCAAGCGTTACCCTTCTTGGGGGTAATTTTTTCTTAACAAAGCTCTATGAACCCCAAGCTTCAGTGGCGTTCTAAGTGTGAAATTTTGTCATTGGGAAGGTTTGGGATGGGTGGTGGTTGGTTATTATCATTGCGCCTTCCTCAGTACCCCCCAAATTACAGTTACCCATTATCTTCAGGCCAATGTGAATACATGGAAACTAATGTTCTCCCAAGGAGTAACAAAATTTGATCTGCAGAAAAATATTAACACAGGAGTGTTAAGAATGAATGCAAGTACATTTTGTTTTAGAACAATAACTAATTTAATGGCTTCCAGGCGGCTACACAATTCATGACAAGCCAAACCCCAGAGGGGAAATTGTAATTGGTGGACAGAATATCTCCATGGGGTATTTTAAAAATGAAGAGAAAACGGCAGAGGATTATTCTGTGGATGAAAATGGCCAAAGGTGGTTTTGCACTGGAGATATTGGAGAATTTCACCCTGATGGATGTTTACAGATTATAGGTCAGTATATTCTCACCATTTTCCTTCCTATCCAAGAGGCAGTGTGGACACATTATTTTCCCTAGTGGCTATCTATACATATGGCTTCAGCTATCCTGGAACCTTAGAAAATCATAAATCCTCAACAGTGATCTGTTCTTCTGAGAATGTCAGTTGGTTTGGCACTGCCCTCACTAAGCCTAGTGAAATAGACTTTTAGCTCCAAAATAGCCCTTCTGTTATTCCCTTTAATCAGGCAAAAGCTAAAATAAAAATTTGACTAGCCAGCTGGGAAGGACCACTCTGTAGAGTCCCATTCAGGTCCTTTTTAAGCCATAAAATTTCCTCAGTCATATCTCTAGCGGTCCATTTAAATCTCTCTGGACCTGTACCTGACCTGAATGTAGTTAAAGATTTCTTGGGAAAATTGGTTCTTCATCCTGAAGTTTGATCTACTGGGGAAATCCCCGGTAAACATGATTTAATCTAGAACCAATCCCCTCTACTTTTTTTTTTCTTGATCCTTAATTGCACTGGAATCAAAGGTGGGTTTCTGTCAGCATGTAGATTGGGTTCCCAGGCTATGGGTAGGCAAGTCAGAATTCATATGGAGTTGTAAGGCCACTGATGATTATTCAAGCTGTGCCATCCTGTGCCAGCACATTCTTTCTTAGAGCACTGTCATTTTAATAAGGTAATGTCAAATAAGGAAAATGGGGAATTAACATTTATTAAACATGTTCTGTATGCCAGACATTGTCCTGTATGCTTATATGAGGTAGGTGTCAGTATCTCTGATAAAACTGAGGGTTGGTGGGGTCAATTGACCTGCCCAGGATCATGTAGCTTGTAATGGGCAGAGCTGTCATTCATATCTAATGCTGTAAGACCCTGTCCCTTCCATTAACTTTATCATAGTATTTAAGATTATAATAAAATACTGAGCATTTTAGCTAGTACTTCTTCAGCTAGGTGTTTTCCTTGTAATGGACGTGCATGAACAAGCATTATTCTATAACAGAATTTTAGAAGAAGTATCTGTGTAAATAAAGATTAAGGCAATGAGATTGAGGGAAAATCGGAATTGTGCGGATCTTAATAAAATGGACCGGATAACTTACCATTCGTTCTTCATGACTTCTAGATCGGAAGAAAGATCTGGTGAAGTTACAAGCAGGAGAATATGTATCCCTTGGGAAAGTTGAAGCTGCATTGAAGAACTGTCCACTAATAGACAACATCTGTGCTTTTGCCAAAAGGTAATTTTAAAGGCTGCATTTGTGTCTCCTATACTTCCAGAAAAAGGATGATTGGGAAAAAAAAATTGTGATTACGTATAATCATAAGGGAAACATCAAATTTTCATCAGCAATGGGGAATGTTACGCATTTCTGAAAGTTCAACAGCTTGAAGATCGTTTGAGATGATTGAGACGTTTTAACTAATTATTGGACACCTTCTGTGTCTTGCTAAGTACTTAGCTATGCCACAGCACTTACTTCATTCAACATCCTTAACAGCTGAGACATAGCATAAGTAAATTTCCTAAGAAGTTAACACCCCTAGTCAAAGTTTTCTAAATCAAAAACCTAAGAGGTTATATCCTTTTCTTTATACGTTAATATGGTTTATTTTTATGGGCTTTATTACACCCTTTAAGAAACGTAACTGTAAAAAACACAAAATATAATGGTTATCATCTTAACCATTTCTAAGTGTATAGGTGACTAGTGTTAAGTATATTCACATTGTTGTGCAGTCAATCTCTAGAGCTTTCTATCTTGCAGAACTGAAACTCTCTGTCCATTAAACAACTCCCCATTTTTCCTGGCTGTGGTCCCTGGCTCCCCACCATTCTCCTCTCTGTTTCTGTGAATTTGACTACTCTGGATACCTCATATAAATAGAATTGTACAGTATTTGTCTTTTTGTGACTGGCTTATTTCACTTAGCATAATGTCCTCAGGGTTGTATATTGTAGCATGTGTCAGAATCTCCTTCCTTTTTAAGGCTGAATAATGTTCCATTATGCAGATAGACCATATTTTGTGTATCCATTCATCCACTGATGGACAACTTCAGTTGCTTCCACCCCTTGACTATTGTGAATAATATTGCTATGAACATGGTACACAAATATCTCTTCAAGATCCTACTTCCCATTCTTTTGGGTATCTACCCAGATGTGGGATCGCTGGATCATAGGGTAGCTCTATTTTTATGTTTTGAGGTCCCACCGTACTGTCTTCCAGAGCAGCAGCACCATCTTTACCTTCTCACCAGCAATGCGCAAGTGTTCTAATTTCCCCGCCTCCTCACCAACACTTGTTTCTAGTTTTTTGATAGTCATCATAACAGGTGCGAGGGGATCTCTCCCTGCTATTGATTAGTGACATGGAGCATCTTTTCATACGCTTGATGGCCATTTATTTGTATGTCACCTCTGGAGAAATGTCAAGTCCTTTGCTCATTAAACATTTTTTCTCTCACTTTCAGTTATACAATCCAGTGTTCTCCACTGTAGTCACCATGTTTTTACGTTAGATCCTCAGGCCCTGTTTACCTTATAGCTGAGAGTTCGTACCCTTTTATCAACCTGTCCCTCTTTCCCCTAACCCCTGGGAACCACTTTTCTACTTGGTTTTCAGGAGTTTGACTTCTTTTCCTGTTTTTAAGATTCCACATGTAAGTGATACCATGCAGTATTTGTCTTTCTCTGTCTGGTTTATCTCGCTTAATATAATGCCCTCTGAGTTCATCCATGTCATCACAAATGGCAGAAGTTTCTTCTTTCCCATGACTGAATGATACTTCCTCGTATATATATCCCATATCTGATGAGCACAGGTTGTTTCCATACCTTGCCTATTGTGACTAATGCTGCAGTGAACATGGGAATGCACGTCTCTCTTCAATATCTTGTTTTCATTTCCTTTGGATTTTTATTTCTTTGTCCAGGCAATTGGATTGCTGGATCGTATAGTAATTCTCTTTTTAATTTTCTGAGGAATGTCCATACTGTTTTCCACAGTGGCTGCACCAATTTACCTTCCCACCAGCAGTGCACACGGGGTCCCTATTCACCACATCTTCACCGACACTTGTCATCTCTTGTCTTTTTGATGATAGCCAACCTCACGGTTGTGAGGTGATAACTCATTGTGGTTTTGATTTGCGTTTATTTCCCTGATGATGAGTGATGTTGAGTGTCTTTTTGTATGCCTGTTGGCCATTTTTATGTCTTTGGAAAAATGTCTATTTGGTTTCTCTGACCATTTTTTGATTTTTTTTTTTTTTTTTTTGCTCGTGAGTTGTAGGACTTCTTCACATATTTTGGATATTAACCCTTTATCAGATATATGTTTTCAAATATTTTCTCCCATTCTGTAGGTTGCCTTTTCATTTTGTTGATGGTTTCCTTTGCTGTGCAGAGCTTTTTAGTTTGATATAGTCCCGCTTGTTCATGTTTGCTTTTGTTGCCTTTGTTTTTGGTGTCAAAACCAACAATACACATTGTTGAGACTGGTGTCAAGGGAGCTTACCCCCTGTGTGTTCCTTTAGGAGTTTTATAGTTTCAGGTCTTTGCCCACTTTTTAATTGGGTTATTTCAGGGGGGTTGTTGTTGTTATTGAGTTATAGGAGTTCTTTCTATATTCTAGATATTAACCTCTTCTCAGATATATGACTCACCAGTATCTTCTCCAATTCCATAAATTGGCTTTTCACACTGTTGACTGTGTCCTTTGGTAACATAGAAATTTTAAATTTTTGTTGTAGTCCCATTTATCAATTTTTTGTTGCAGTCCCATTTATCAATTTTTTGTTGCCTATGCATTTGGTGTCATATCTAAAAAAGCATTGTCAAATCCAGTGTCATGAATCTTCTTCCCTGTGCTTTCTTCTAGATGTTTTATAATTTTAGCTCTTATGTGTTTAGGTCCTTGATCCATTTTGAGTTTATTTTTGTGTGTGGTATGGGCTAAGGGCCCAACTTTATTCCTTTGCATATAGATATCCAATTCTCTCAACATCGTTTGTTGAAGAGACTGTCATTTCCCCACTGAGTGGTGATGGCACCCTTCTTGAAGATCATTTAACATATATGCAAGGATTTATTCCTGGGCTCTCTGTTCTGTTCCATTGGGTAAATGTCTGTCTTTATGCCAGGACTATGGGTTTTATTACTTCTTAATGAAGCTGTAACACATAAGAGAAATATGTATTTGGAATTATGTATACTGTTCCATTCAATAACTACAATTTTTCTCAATGTTTTAATTTCTATTTTGTGTTATTTTCTAATTTTTTAGTGATCAGTCGTATGTGATTAGTTTTGTGGTTCCTAATCAGAAAAGGTTGACACTTTTGGCACAACAGAAAGGAGTGGAAGGAACTTGGGTCGATATCTGCAATAACCCTGCCATGGAAGCTGAAATACTGAAAGAAATTAGAGAAGCTGCCAATGCCAGTAAGTAAGAAATCACTTGTCTGTTGAAGTCCCTGGATGTCATTTAATGATGTCTTGTGCATTAGTCTCCTTGAGACGTCTATTTCTTTGTTTTAATGATAAAATACAGGGCTTTAAAAACCTGCCTCTTGAAAAAAAATTATATATACACATACATTATATATACATTATGTATTATACTATAATAAATATATAGAAACATATATAAATGTATTTGTATGTCGGAAAGATCCTTAAATGTCGTAGAGTAGAATAACCTATCTAGTTCCTTATCGCATGTTACAACCATCCCTGCTGACTGGTCACCCAGCCTGTGCTCGGAATGGTCCATCTTTGTTCTGATAGTTCATGATGAGGTGCCCTGGTGTGGATCTCTTACCATTTATTGTTGTGGATACTAACTTGGTGTGGGCCCCTTCAATCTAGAGATCTCTGCCCTTCAGTTCTGGGAAATACCCATTTATCTTTTTTGTCTGTTTGCTCCTTCTTATTTTTATAGTTTTTCCCCATCCAGATTCTTTGTGTCTTTTTATCTGGGACTACAATTCTGTGACTGTTGGACCACCTGCTTTCATCCTCTGGTTTTATTATCTTTTGTTTTCCATCTCATCCTTTTTGTTTTACATTCTGGCGTAGTCCCTCTACTTTTTTTAAAAAAACATTTTTAATGTTTGTTTATTTTTGAGAGCCAGAGTATAAGTGGGGGAGGGGCAGAGAGAGAGGGAGACACAGA